GCAGTAAGGGGGGCGGGAGTATTATGGATACATAGTTTCAAGATGGGGGATATAAGAAGGAATGCAGAAGGGAGGGTACTCACCAGAGCAGAAGGAGCGGTCTGGAACAGTTTCCCTCCCACCCTCCCCAATTTTCTAGGCTAGGTGATGGTTTCTGTCTTGTGGTGTTGTTTGCTTCTGTTCTAGACACCTCCCTGGACTGACAAGGAAGGGGGGACATGACTGCGGCTAGGATAAGGAGTCTTGAAGGAGTAAGGGATGGGAGGGGTATATATGGATACATAGTTGCTAAGATGAAGACAGTTATAAGGACAGTTAGGGGAGGGAACTTACCAGTCAGCTTTGGAAGTGCAGGGATCCTGACTTTCATCTGTCCTTCATCTGTCATTCTTTGCTGACCCCTAAAAAAAAAAAAAGCTATTATTATTCGGTTTTTTCACTTACCTGTATTCCTGCTTATCTGATGGAGGTTTCCCAGGAATCGTTGGTGGCCCTGTTGCAGGCTTACCGGGCTGCACATGGTGCAGGCTCGTTGGCAGCGGTGTTGGCCGGCATGGAAGGTGCCCCGGGTGAAGAGGCGAGGCCTGTGGAAGACGGGCGGCGGGCCAGGCGTTCAAGGCCGCCGTCGCGGCTGTCTCCCAGCCCGGTGCGAGGTGAGCGAGAGGGCCGCAGGCGCCGGCGGACTGGAGTGGCTGGGGACGTGGAGCCGAGCCTTAGGTGTCCCCCTCGAGCGGTCCGGTCCCAGGTGAGGGCTGCGGTGGCCTCCGGCAGCCATTCCCAAGATGGCGGCATGGCGGGAAGGTCGAGGAGCCCTCCACCTTCTCTTCCGGTGCGGCCGGAAGTGACGTCACGACGCCGGTCGCGCACGGCCGGCGCGCCGGATATGACATCACCTGCCGGCGACGGGCAAAACCCGGAAGTGGGTGCCCGCGCTGAAATGAGGAGGCCGGGCGCTCGGGGATGGCCGGCGCCGGCTGAAGAACCCGGAAATAGGGGTGCTGTGACCCGGACAGCAGCCCCAAGGCGGTGGGAGTCCCCAGGTCCGAGCAGTACAAGGGGTGCTGCGGAGCAGACGGCAGCCCCGAGGTTGCAGGGCTGTCAGGATGCCGGCGGTCGGGAGGCCGTGTCGGTTACAGCCCCCCTGGGAGCTGGGAGGCTCCAGGGTGATTCCGGTGAGTCAGAGGAGTCAGAGGAGGAGCGTGAAGCTGATGGAGAGCGGCCCCTGCGCCTTCCCTCATTCGGTGAGTTGGCATGCGCTGGCGCCTGGGGTTCAGCAGGGGGATCAGGTCAGGATAGTGAGGTGTTGCGCCTGCTGAGGCTTTTAGTGGAGGGTCAAGCCAGGGGCAGTGGTCTCGGGGTTCAGGGTGCAGGTGGGACGGATAGTTTGAGGGGTCAGGGGATGGGGGTTGGTTCCTTTCTCCCGGGGTGTGAGCTGGCCCCTTTAGGTTTACATGTGCCTGCTGAGGTGCAGGAAAAGATTATTCGGGGTGAGTATGTGGATCTTCTTTCTCTCGTTCCGCCGGACAAGGAGTCCGTGGACAGACCGCGTCGTGGCGAACAACTGGAGGGGGAGAAGGGTAAGTCTATCCCGCGTACTTTCGGTAACTGGCTGCAGGGATTTAATATCTTTGCGAGCGTGCTAGTGCGTCGGTTCCCAGAGAGGGCCCCTTCGTTATTTGGTTATTTGGATTTAATTTGGGGCGCTTACAAAGTGTATGGGGGACAATGCTGGTTCAAATACGACCAGCAATTCCGCCAGCAGATGGCGGCGTGTCCGGGGATGGGTTTCGGGGTGCAGGACGGCAGCCTGTGGCTGCTACTGATGACCCCGTGTAGACCCTCCCCCTTTTCAGGGGTTGCCGGCGTCCCCATGGGGACGTCGGCAGGTCAGCGGAAGGGAGTTTGTTGGCTCTTCAACGAGAGCCACTGTAAGTGGTTTAGCTCTTGTAGATTCCGGCACGAGTGTGCCCATTGTGGGGGAGCCCACCCGGCTCTCCGTTGTTTCAAGAAGGGCAGACCGTCTGCCGCCAAGGGCTCTGGTAGGGACGACGTTCCTCGCGGCGAGGACGCCGGTGAGCGTGGAAAAGATGCGTCCCTGGTTAAGCAGGTATCCTAAGAGGGACGCTGCAAGCCTTCTGTTCGACGGTTTTACAATGGGTTTTTGGATTCCCTTTGTGCTGTCGGATGAGGGCCGGTTTGCTGACAATCTTCGGTCCACGCGGGGTAGGGAGGGTTTATTGCAGGAAAAGCTGGAGGCGGAGATTCAACGGGGCCGCATGGCCGGTCCCTTTGATTTCCCCCCGTTCCACAACCTGAGAGTGTCTCCGTTGGGTCTGGTACCCAAAAAAGACCCGGGAACTTTTCGGTTGATTCACCATCTCTCGTACCCTTCGGGGGCGTCAGTCAACGATGACATTGACAGGGATGCGTGTCGGGTGCGGTATGCGTCCTTCGACTCGGCCTTGCTCCTTTTGCGGCGGGCCGGTCGTGGGGCTTTGTTGGCAAAATCGGATATTGAATCGGCCTTTCGTTTGTTGCCGGTTCATCCGGATTGTTTTCATTTGTTGGGGTGTTTCGCGAACGGTTGCTTCTATTATGATATGTGCATGCCCATGGGTTGCGCTATATCTTGTTCTTATTTCGAACTGTTTTCTTCCTTTTTGGAGTGGGTCACGTCTCGAGTTTCGGGATTGGGGTCCTTGACCCATTACTTGGACGATTTTTTGTTTGTCGGTCCGTCAGGTTCCCAGGATTGTATGGCGTTGCTTCGGGCGTTCCGGCGGGTAGCGTCGGAGTTCGGTGTGCCAGTTTCCGAACAAAAGACGGTCGGCCCGGTGTTGGTTCTTTCGTTCTTGGGTATCGAGATCGATACTGAGAGCATGGTTTTCCGGCTTCCTGAGGAGAAGCTGGAGGGGTTGCTTCGGCTAGTGGACTTGGTCAAAGGTTCCAAGAAGGTTCAGTTGCGGCAGATGCAGGGCCTTTTGGGGCACTTGGTTTTCGCATGTCGAGTGTTACCGATGGGTCGGGCATTTTGTCGCAGATTGTCTTTGTCCACGGTAGGGGTGAGGGAACCCTTCCACTACATTCGGATCACGAGGCGCCTCCGGTCGGATCTGGCGGTGTGGAGCTCCTTCCTACGTAGTTACAACGGGCACTCTTGCTGGTTGAGGGAGGCCACCTCCAACGCCGCGTTGGATCTCTTTACGGACGCCTCGGGGTCCGTTTGTTTTGGAGCGTATTTTCAGGGTCAGTGGTGCGCGGGGGAGTGGCCGCGGGCCTGGCGGTCTTCCTTATTGAGGAAGAATTTGACCTTTTTGGAACTGTTTCCGATAGTGGTCGCGCTGGAACTGTGGGGCGAGGATCTGAGAAATCACACGGTGGTCTTTCACACGGACAACATGAGTGTGGTTCATGTGATTGCCCGCTCGTCGTCCTCGTCTCCACCTGTTTTGGCGCTTCTCCGTCACCTCGTGCTCCTTAGTCTTAAGTTTAATATTTGGGTGCGGGCGCAGTATGTCCCGGGTGTTCAGAACGTGGTGGCTGATGCATTGTCTCGCTTGCAGTGGGAGCGGTTTCGCGAGGCAGCGCCAGAGGCGCAGCGGACCGGTCTGCGGTGTCCAGACTCCTTATGGAAGCTCGATTTCGAGGTCTGATGGGCTTGGTATCGGATTCCTTGGCGGAGTCTTCATGGAAGGCATACCGGGCAGTGTGGAGGCAGTGGCTGTCGGCAGCACGGGATGGGGATGTATCCACGGCCTCGGGTCGTGCGGAGAGGACTCTCGTGATGCTGGATGACTTGGCCAAGGGAGGTAGGTCCTGCGCTGCTGCGGAGAAGGCGTTGGCTGCCCTGTCATTTTTGTTTCGTTTTATGGGCTGGCAGGATGTTACTAAGGACTATGGGATTCAGAGGGTGGTCAAGGGTTGGCGGCTGAGGCGTCGCCCGGATGGTCGTCGTCCAATTTCGGTTGACATGTTGCGGTGGATTATGTTAGTGCTACCGTCGGTCTGTGGTTCGGAGTACAGGTCGAAGTTGTTTCGCGTGGCCTTCTCGGTCTGCTTTTTTGGTGCCTTTCGTATCGGCGAGTTGGTGGCCCCGAGCAAGGGGAAGGCCTCGCCGTTGGCATTGTCGGATGTGCGATGGTCCCCTTCAACCGTCGACATTTTTGTGCGACGATCTAAGACGGACCAGGCAGCCCGGGGGGCCTGGGTTCGTTTGGGGGCCACGAGGGACGAAGTCTGTCCGGTTGCGGCCTTCCACGCCTTTCTGGGGGTACGCCCGGAGCGGGGACGCCCTTTGTTAGCTCACGGGGACGGGTCTCCGCTAACCCGGTATCAGTTCTCGGCGATGATGAAGAAAGCGTTGGTTGCGAGTGGTATGGATGGTCACGGGTTTTCGGCCCATTCCTGGGGCGGCTACCCAGGCGAGCGTGTTGGGGTACTCGGCCGCTGGAATTCAACGGATTGGAAGATGGGGGTCGGGGCGTTTTAAGTCTTATGTCCGACCTCATATGTTGTAACCCCTTTTCTCGTTGTAGGTGGTCGGCCCCGGTACGTGTGGATTATAGGGCATTCTTATGTGTACTGGGCAGCTAGGCGAGCTGAAGGCCGGACCTACGGACGGAATTTGGGGTTTTCGGTGGACGTGGCCAGAGTCAGGTGGAAGGGCATTAGGGGCCTCCAGTAGCAGCAGATTTATCCAGAGTTCGTGGCCCTGCGTAAGTTTGTGTCGGGGCCGGTGGTGGCGGTTGTTCACGCGGGTGGTAACGACTTAGGGGTATCCCGGACTGTGGACCTTCTCCACGCGATTCGGCACGACTTGGCGAGGTGCATGCCGCTCTTTCCAGACATGACCTTGGTTTGGTCGGAGGTGGTATCCAGGCCGTGCTGGC